CCCCCTCCCCTCCATACTACAATTTATTTTTGAAAGTTTGAAGTAAATGTTGTATGAAGTATATGTTTAGTCACCCCATCTCAGCGTTTAGATCCCCTCTCCAAAAAATTCCTGGATCCGCACTAGTTGCAGGTATTGAACCTATGACCACAGTGATGTATAAGTTTATTTATACCACACAAAAAATCACATAAGATGACATTAATTAATTAAATGAAATAAGCCAAGGGTACTGTTTACCTAGAATAACTAGGAAGCTAATCAAGCTAGGTGTAATGTGATACTCTTGCACAGCACATTACCCAGGCTTCCCAAGGGTATTGTTTACCTAGAATAACTAGGAAGCTAATTGAGCTTGGAGTAATGTGATACTCTTGTGCAGCACANCAGGCTTCCCAAGGGTATTGTTTACCTAGAATAACTAGGAAGCTAATTGAGCTTGGAGTAATGTGATACTCTTGTGCAGCACATTACCCAGGCTTTCTATTTCATCATCACAAGACAATCTTATGTATTGCGTTACCTTTGGAACGAAGACGAGGCATAGTGTTATTGAGGTGCAAAAGATAATAAATAGCCCAGTTATCATGAATCGTGCATCAGGATTGCCATCAATGATCATAGTGATTCCAACACCAACGGATGATAAGACCAGTACATTGTAAATACTGATGCCTAGGACATCAAAGACAATACAAATTATTAGACGGTATACATTCCTTTGCATGAGAATAAAAGGACAAAAGACATGGCTGTCATGTTGGTTGACATAACAAAAGGCACTAAGACCAAATGTTTTGTTCAAGTCAACCAACATGGTGACTATGATGTCACATGCACAACGACGACAAAAGACATGGTTACCATGTTGGATGATATGACAAAAACAAACAAATCTTTTCTTTCATCCAACATGGCAGCTATAAAATCATTGCAATAATTCTTACCAATGAATTTGGAGTCATTCAATGCTGGTATAGTAACATTACGTGTTTCCCAAGCCAGAAATGACCCGAAAAGAAGTAGCAGCACTTTATATGAGTATAAAACACCCAGCCAGTAAACCATGTTATCCGATGAACAGCTCTCCATCTGAGGGATGAACTTTTTGTCATCTTTAAGGTAAATCTGGATACAGAAGGAATACAGGAATAGACATTTTGAGCACCAATTCTAGTGTTTTCATTCGACTATACATCTTTTTTTAAAAAGTTGGTAAAGTTTTTGTTGCTATTTGCCATATTACATACCAAGCCTGAACTGAATGCACTATACAAGGAATGAAATATGGTGACCCATTTGAATAAATATTGTTCTGGACTGTCTAGCCTTTCTTACATATGAAAATGCTTTTGTGTTTCCCACATGAACAAGAGGCTAGTCAGTCCAGAACAATAGTTATTCAAAATGGATGGTATATTTTGATTTGGTGTATGGGTGATATGAATTGATTCAGTGGGCAAATGGTCACTAAAATATGGAATTTTCCAATTTTTGTCTGCATGTCATTGGCCACGTCATTCCATCATATTTCAGGGGTGCAGTTAGAGGGGCCAAGGGGACCTGCCCTCCCCCTCCCATCCTCACGCTGTAGAAAATCGGCTGGTTTTGTGCCCCCCTCCCCCAACCCAAAATCCTGGCTACGCCCCTGTATTTATATCAATATTACATTTCAATCTTGATAAATTTAGTAACGGGTTTGTAAAATTTGAAATTATGGTATTAAGATATGTTTTACTAGGAATCCCACCTGATCATTGAATATTCGAAGCTTTCCCTTCATTGGATTAATTGCTGTCCATAGGGTGAGCAAACAGACATCTACCAGCACAAATACCGCTACTATCAGGAAGAGATGCTCATCTTTAATGACCTAATAAAGAAATAGAAAACCTTCTTCAAGACTTTAGTTTGGACATCTATCAAAACTTATACTCAAAAGAATATATTCTTCCACTTTGCATTAAAACAACCCAGCAGTATTTTAGATACATGTTTAATACTTCAACTGTCGTATTTTTATGTTTTTACCTTTTTGCGAGGAGTGATGCTCTTGAATATCGCATGAACTCGCCAAGTCTTGGCAAACATGGCGCCGAAAGCCATGGTGAAGCCAATGGACAAAATCCAGGCTTGAGCCTAGAAAAATAAAATACAAATTTGTTAGAGTAGAGAGAATTGTTCATTAAACACATCGTTGTTCGTCTATTCTTGGTATTTAGAGGGTAATTCAATGGGACAAGATGAAGGCGCACACACTTTCTTCCTTCGTGGGTGAGTGAGGGGAAATAATCCCAGAATAGTGCAACTGGGAACCCTGTTGCTTTTCTAGTGAGAGAAGAACTGGGAGGTTTTAGATAGTTTTTCTATTTTTTCTATTTTTTTCTTTTCTTTTTCATTTCTTTCTTTCTTTCATTTTTCATTCCTACGTCTTTTTTCCTCCCTTCCTTTCGTCTGTTTGTTTTGTATGGGTTTTTTTCTATATGAAAAACTTGTGCCACTATCCTACCGCGTTGACGCAGCTTAGCGATCATTCTTTCATTCTTTCTTTCTAAATACTTCCATCTATATCATGACGAAAATCAAAAGACAGCTATATCTTACCGAACACAATCCCCCAACGGAAGATGGATCAACCAGTCGTCCATCCAGGCCAAACAAGAAAACAGAAAAATACGCCATTACACAACCACATATGATTAGATTATTGAGTCTTGGACTTGACATCTTGATCAGCCTGAAACAGCAAAATGCTGATAATATGAACGAAGCCATTACACAGTGTAACTTGATTTTTTAACTAAAAGTTATTTGAAACCGCGTTTTGAGACAAATTTCACAAAAAAATGAGCTTTACTGAATTGAGGGAAGGCAGGACAAAAATATTTTGGGCAAGCTGCCAATTGAAAAATGGCCGCGCGGGTAATATGCATTAGGGGGTTATCAGGAGCACAACTTTACACTATCCCAACCGTAGATATACAGCTATTTCAGTCAAAAAAGGTTGAATACTGAATACTGCGTACTGAATAGCGCATTCCAAGACCAAAGGGCATTGTAGGTCTCATTAATTTGAAATGAAAAGTAAATGTACAGCAATAAACTCTCTACATGTAGTTAATATATTGTTTCAGATGGAATACACTAAAAATAGAATAAATAATTATTATTAATCCTACTTTAGACAATGTCACTATGACCCACAATGCTCTTTGGTCTTGGAATGCACTATTCGGTATGCAGTATTCAGTACTCAACCTTTTTTGAAATAGCTGTGTGATACAATGTAAAATAGAGTCTAAAATTTTATAAAATAGAATCGTTTTTGCTGCATAAATTTTTTTAAAGCAAATAATTCATCAAATCCTTTAATTTCTGGTAGGGGAATACACGAGGATTTGGTGGGAATTTTCGCGCCAAAACAAAAAAAAAAAAAAAAAACGCGTGCGCTCACCAACTCTGGTACTCTCGTTATGCCACTGATTTCTGGTGCGCATCATATAATAATACTATCTTCAATACAAAGTTGAATCTGATCTTGTCAAGATATTATTAATTCTTATACCTTTTTTGTCGGTAAAATATATTGACAGCGAGGAAGAGCAGAGCCATGATGATGCCAATAGCAGCGAGTACACAGAGAAATGCCACAAGTCCCACTGCTATTGTTTTCATCTCTTTTTCTTGTATTGTTCTATCCTTTGGCGTACCTTTACCTTGTAGAAATAAATAAAAATGGATTAATTTTTACATTTTAAATCAAATTCCTTCAGAACTGCAAAGTTGTTAGGTCTCTCCCTTGATTCCACTAGGGGTTTTCTCCTGTTTTTCTTCCTTTTCTCCTTAAACTGACTTCAAGGAATATTACCATTTGACCTGTAACTTAGCCGTGCCCTGCCTCATATCAGCATGGAGTTTGTAATTTTATTTTATAGTACGAACTAAATATAGGATCATACTTCCAGACATCAAGTGCTGAACCGTCGTATGGCAGCGCGAAGCATTTACGGCTACGCCGGAGATTTCGACCCCGACACCGCTATCCGAGGACTTACAGACTGATCAGGAAGCTCGACCGAAGCCTAAGGGAGAGGTTAGTCGGCCCCTAGACCGTAGATGATTCTACCAAATCACGGTGACGTCACTTCCGGTTAACATGAGATGCACACGTGCTGCCGTGGATGCTCAGTACACAAAGCTTAGCCGTGGAGTTCGGATCTCTTCGAATCCTTCGAAGTTGTGGAGACTTTATCGATAATTTTTTTTCACTTCATTCATTAGGTAAGAAGTTTAATTTGGAGAAACTTTCATTAAAGGAACTAACATTCAATTTAGTTATTTTGCTAGCACTCACATCTGGACAAAGATGTCAAACATTATCATTTCTCGATATTGATGATATGAAAGAGAATGCGGATTATTATTTGTTCTACATACGGGATCATGTCAAGCAAGACAGACCGGGAAAGATTTTTGCATCGTTTATTGTTAAGAAGTACATTAAACAGGAACTCTGTGTTTATTCCACTCTTCGACACTATCTTGAAGTGACAAAGAGTGTACGTAATGAAGGCAATTCACGACTGCTCATATCCTACGTGAAGCCTTATCGACCGGTTAGTAATAGTACTATAGGTCGATGGATTAAAACTGTCCTCCAAGCAAGTGGTGTTGATACAACAAAGTTCAAGGCTCACAGCACCAGAGCAGCTGCTACATCCAAAGCAAGCCAGATGATTCCAACTGATGAAATATTGAAGCACATAGGATGGTCTCAAGTTTCAACTTTCCAGACATTCTATAATAAACCTGTGCTTACTGATTTTGCTGCAGCGGTATTAAGATAAATTGTTATTGTCAWAATAAAGTTTTGTTTTGTTTGTCAATAGTGGTTGTGTCCACAATAATTGCTTTAAAGTCTCATGTTAACCGRAAGTGACKTCACCGTGATTTGGTAGAATTGAAAAATTAAACGAGCCTTACCTGTAAGGTGAAGTTTGATTGTGATTCTACCAAATCCAAGGTGACGCGCTGAGGGTTAACATGCCCTCCCTTACAGTTATTCTGTTTTCCCACCCGTGCTTTTTACCCGTTTTTTCTCTATATCGTGTCCACAACATTTAAAACTCTGAGCATCCACGGCAGCACGTGTGCATCTCATGTTAACCCTCAGCGCGTCACCTTGGATTTGGTAGAATCACAATCAAACTTCACCTTACAGGTAAGGCTCGTTTAATTTTTCAATTAACCCCATGCTATGACCAGCATGCCGATTTTCTCGAATGTTTCACTGATGACTAAGTGTCTTTAGTAACGTATTTCCGTGTGGGACGCTCTTTGAAAAACTAACTAGCCATGACATATATTCATATTTTGAGGTAAACCTCAAAATGAAGTTTAATTTTGTTTCATTTTCAAAGGCACTTTGATGGAGGCATTTTTACCTACTGCCTCCACCATTTTCCCATAAATTTCTGGCGCATGCGTGGTGTGTCTCGGCGTTTTTAACATCCTGGTTAACCTACCCTGCCATTTAATAGATGAATGTTTATTTTTTTCTATCTTGTTCGTCAGACTGTTGAAAGTTCCAACAACTACGACCTTAAAAGCTGCAAACAAACAGAAGAAAAATATTCCAGTTTTTTTTGAGTACATCGTTGCCGAACTAGATAAAATAAATAAATAAAGTCTGAAATCTTTATATCAAACAAACTAGCTCTACATTTACATTAGGCGTTCGTAAGAAAAACAAGCTGCAGAATGAGAGGAATACGTTTACTTCTTTTTGATACCTTGTAATTGCTGTATGTGTATAAGTCCAACACGTTCGCCATTTTTATTGAAGGAAACAGGACCCTGGAAAAATATGAAATTTTTCTTATAAAATATATATCTAGCATTCAAAATTTTTTTTTTTTTTTTTTTTTTTTTTTAACACAAAAAAATTTTTTTTTTTTTTTTTTTTTTTTGACAGCACAAATAAATTTATTGGCTTCCGAGCTCGACTGGGTGATAGAGTGCTCACACTAAATCCGTGAAACAAATACTAATTTTTAGCACTAATAGTGATAATTAAACAATAGAAAACAAAGGATTCTGCATGAAATAGTACTAATTAGTACTATTTAATGTTCACGGTTTAAGTGCGTGCACTCTTATATATGTGATTGGCTCAGAAGGAAAGCCATTTGAAAGCTATGTTACAATAGATATCGTTTCAATTTGTTTCAAAACTTGTTTACCGTAACTCCAAGAAAACTTGTTTCCTGCATTGCTTTAGTGAAGGCATCAGCGAGAGTGCTGTCTTGGTACGTGAAATCTTCGAGTTTCTTTGCCACACCTGAATGATCGAATAAATGGATGCATGCATGAATGAGAAATAAAGGAATGAATGAAACATGAACGAACTAACAAATGAATTAATAAAAAAGAGAGTATATGTGTTTTTAGTCACCTTGTGCGTTGGAGAGGGAGTGCGCAGTGGAGTTGAGTGCCAAAGCAATCGCCCACATCGCGTCATAAGCGAATGAAGATTCTAATCTAGCGTCCATTCTAGTCCGTTTTGTAAACTCTTTGGAATAATCAGCTACCAGCTAAAGGAATATAAAATGATTATGAGGTAATGAGTGCAATAGTAATATATGGTCTCAAAAACGAATCCTTGCAGCTCCCTGTTGACATACACGTGCGCTTAGTAAGGTAAGGTCTTGTACTTCATTAACATTCCGAAAACAGTAGTAAAAGTATCATACCAATACTAAACCAACCATAGAAGGCAGGGTAATGGCTCTACCCCACCACTAGAGGGTAGGGCAATAGCACTCACTTACTCACCCCTAGAGGGTAGGTCAATAGCAGCCACTTACCCACCCCTAGAGGGTAGTAGGACAATAGCAGAAACTTGCCCACCCCTACAGGATAGGTCAAAAAGCACCCACTTACCCACCCCTAGAGATTAGTGCAAAAGCAGCCACTTACCCACCCCTAGAGGGTAGGTTTACCCACCCCTTGAGGGTAGGTCAACAGCAGCCACTTACCTACCCCTAAAGAGGAGGTCAATAGCAGCGACTTACCCACCCCTAGAGGATAGGTTTACCCACCTCTAGAGGATAGGTTTACCCACCCCTAGAGGGTAGGTCAATAGCAGCGACTTACCCATCCTGAGACAGTAGCCTTTCCTGCTGTAGTGTCATCCTCGTTCAACTTGACATAGTCAGTAGATAAGTATCCATTTACAGCTTGTTTCATCTCATCTACTATGCAAGCAATACCCTCTTCCTTCAGGCGCCTCTGCCACCATTGCTCAGGGTACCAACCAATGATGATCCAAACATAGCGTTCTCCATATAAACCCTGTTTATACGCCTAAACACGTCATAAGATAGTATGTTAGTATGACACGATAACCAAACCTACGACCGAGAGACACTGGGAACAGAGAGAACTCTTAGTTTCTAGAATATTTTTAAACACGATAACGTTTGATTTTAACTTGCATTTTGCAACACATTCCAAGACAAGTTGCTTTAATATCAAGATTCGTACCTCACAAAAGACTTGTCTTGCGCCTTCTTCGTAAAAATTTCCAATGATGATACGAGCGTCCTTGTCCTGTGACGTGATTAGATTTTCAATAGCAATGGGTAGCAACCGCTAAAAATTATGTCACTCATATTGCGCATGCAGACACGCCTAAAACTACGACTCATTGCCTCTAAGATTTTGCGAGAAATTGTGGGTTTAATAGTCCCCTTACTTATGACGTCAAAGCAGCTCAATTTGGAGGACAAAATTCAGTTTCCTGAGAATTGGAAACCTATCGTTATAATATGTCCTCCTAATGGAGCTAAATTCCGACGTGTTGTAAGGGGTATATCCCGGATATGTATTTCTTGGCGCATTTTTTCATACCTTGATACTGGCCAACTGATTCGCAGGATTCCCACTAAAACCTTCCGATGTTATAACCGACATGTTGCTCTTAGTAAATTCCTTGAGAAGATCTTGGATTGACTAACGAGTAATAAAAAGTAAATTTCTTAAGGATAATAACATCATATAACAGGTAAGTATGATAAATCTTGATTTTTGATTGGTTGGGTTATGCCATGCACTTTATGTAATCCCACAGCACCCGTGCGCGCTTTCTTTTTCGTCATTCCACTACGCGTCGTGCTTCTCCTAATACTCCTCTTGTGTTCTGCCAACCAGCCAATCTCCGGTTGCTTTATAACTGTACCCAGCACGCGCGCGCGTCTTCTATTTCTTTGGTAACATTGACCGCGTATCATTAATTATAATCTCTCAGTAAATCACTGCTTTGGGTACATTTAAGTTTATGTCAGTTGACGTACGTCGGAGAAGATTCCTGAAGCCTCATTTTGGTGCAGAGTGGCCACTCGACTCCAGCCCATTGCCTTGATGACAGCCACTCGGGCACGATTGAAGGCGAGGTCTGAAGAAATCGTACGAAAGAACCTTGGGTATAGCGTACGGTTCCTAAGAGACGGAGAGGTGGATCCGTACGATACCTAGAAAAAACCTAAATAGATTACTTCCATATACTAGAATAGACCAGTTTTTTAGAGAAACAATTGAGAGGTTGCACGGGCAAATGTTTGTTGTGCGGGGGAGTGGGCGAAGAGTTTGGGTCAGCAGGCAACAACAGTGGAGCATGCTTATAGCTCTGCTTACTTGAACAAGGTTCCAGTATTTGGCTGCGTCGGCAATGGGTTGAGTGATAAATGAGAGAGCCGCTCCCAGGAGCATAAGCTTGGCTGGTTTTGTGTGCACATGTTCATATAAACCTCGTAAAGCAACGCCAGGCTCGCACTGAAACGAAAACCAAATGCAAACAAATACCACGTCATTCCATAACCATTGCATGAAGAAGAAGAAGAAGGAGAGAGGAGGAGGAGGAGGAGGAGGAGGAGGAGGAGGAGGAGGAGAAGAAGGAATTTCATACCAAAGAGCTAGCTCTTCTACCAACCTTAGTATCCATTGCATCCACATTCAATCGATATCCAACTAAAACGTCTGCTCTCCTATTAATCTGTTCCACTGCCATATCTACCGCAATGTTAGTTGCCATTCCTCCCGTCCAACATGAACCGCTAACGGGAAAATAGGCCCCGATAGTAAGGTTATGGAGACTGGGACTGCTCGTTGTGTTTCGCGTTCCAAGAGAGTTTACAGGGTTTAGCACATGCGTAGACATTATTCCTGTAAATAAAAAGTAGAGTATAGACATTCAATGCTGAAGCTCCTCATCTAAAAGCCCGGCAACCAACCAGTTTCTATGGTAACGACAAACCAAAGAGTTAGTTTCTATGACTGAATCTTTGACCGGCTTCTAAAAGGGCCAAACTCTCAGCTTTTTGTTTTAGTGGCCCACAAAACTATACTTCTAGACACCCTATAAATCTTTTAGACACTTAGACAACTAGACTCCTTTAGACTACTTTTAGACTACTTTTAAACACCCCGTATAAGTCCAAGTCTAAAACGGCGTCATAGATTGATAAAGACCACACGTCATCAATTGGTTAAGTTACTACGCTTCTACTGATACAAGGCCAATTCACTTCTTTGAGCAATTTGGTGTATGCCCAATTTAAACCAGCTATGCTGAACTTTGCATCTCTGCTTAAATATTGTCCATAAATAAATGAATAAATTTCTTGCACGGATTCAGTGGCAGAGTTATTTTGGTGCGGCTTAACATTTGACCAGGTAAAAGCCAGAAACGACAACCAAACCAAACAGTTGCATATATGTAATAAATGGTAATCCATCTGACAGTTTGAGATCAAATACACGGTTTGAACTGTTTGAGTTTCGCACAAAACTTAAGTTTAAAAATAAATTGAAACTGCATGCTCACTTACCAAAAACCACTGCAAGAAAAAGAGTCGAGAGACGTTTCCTGTACAGTTGTACCATGATAGAATATCAAGCAAACCAGTTCAAAACTGACTAGCGAAACAGCTAGATAAGCACAAGGAGGCAGCTACAGGCTAATACAACTGAACTAGTTTAGATGAAGTGTGGTACACCAAGAAATTCTTATAATTAATCTTTTCTTCTGCTCGTCTAAGATATTCCATGCCAACCTGGAATATATATACTAAAGAAACAGATATGCGCCTGTTTTATGAGTATTAGATAACAATTTTGTAGTTGTATGCAGATTTAACGCGGTACATTATTGTCACGTTGGTGTTTGTTGACATTCCTTTAGCAGTATGCACAACAAATTAAAAAAACTTGTCAACTTCTTGAACGGAATGATTGAAAAGCGACGGAAATGACAACAAAGGCTTGAATTTAGTCATGTAAAATTTAAAAATCGTATCAGGCGCTAAAGCCGCTGAAAAAGAAAGAAATGGAGTGGTTTTCAATGTTACAAGACCACTCATCCCTTCCCCTCTTGAAAAGAAAAGATTTTTGTCCGTACGAGATAGCTAAAGCGGAGAGAAGAGAATCTGCACATACAAGCCTACACGTCCAACTCAAATTAATTTCCATCAATCAACTCTTCTTTTGTTTCTTCTTGAGAAACACATTGATGCACGCAATCTGTTAAATCAGAACTCTAACGGAATTCGCTCGAGTGACCACACGAAACAATGGTCACCAAATCGAGGTTGGATTTGATAGAATACAATAAATGTATGAACAAATCAAATCCAACTTGGAATCATCCATTGTTTTGCTGGTCACCCAACCATCTTCCCACCATGCATAGCGCTCTTTTTCCAAAATGGCGGTAGACTAAAGTATTTTTTTAAAGTTATGAAAGAATACTGTTGAATAAAGAACTGTATTTTTTTTTTTTTTTAACTTTGAATATATTTTCTTGTCTGTGGTTTGTAAATTTATAGTGTTTGAAAATTGAATTGAAAAGGTGCTTAGTTCTTTTTGTACGGGTTGCAAATTTGTTTTACATAACATGACGTTTCGACTGCAGCTGTGAGAGTCTTCATCAGAATGATGATTCATTTTCATAAATATCTCAGACTGATACCTCAAATTTACTTCCCGTGCT